TTAGTTCTGGAGACGGGAAAGCTGTCGGGTATGCAAGGTGTGTTTGGCTTATTGATAATTAAGCTAAGGTATGCCTTTGTTAGTGTGATCGAATGGGCTCTAACCTGTTGCTGGACAAATGATTATTGAAAAGGCTAGTGGCTATAAGTTTCCCCAAATCACCGAAACTGAACCAAAATTAAACGGACAATCGAGCCAGCCAAACTTCAGATGTTACATTCATCTGATGGCATAGACTATGCAGATTATTCGGTATAATTATTCGTTTTATCGCTTTTTCCAAATTCAACTCGGATTTATAAAACGCTTTATTTTACTAAATAAACAAAATAAACATCAATAGGCAATACAGGAGAAAATCCAGACACGCTAGGGCTGTCAAAAGTGTATTCATTAAAATTGACAGTCAATCGTAGGTTGATTTAGTTGAGCAAAACTAGGACTAGTAGAGCGAACATTTCGATAATTTCTGGAACTCACTCCAAAATATATCATAAAGCTCTGGGTAGGTGTGAATCAGATTTCCTAGGTGGAATGTGGGATCCTTGATAATTTCGACACCTGTCCTACTCTGCTTGTCAGCGTGACACAACAGTACCTTGCCGTATTTGTTGAAAACTACAACCAACCACTGCAGTTCAGGCCTGACTGCGAAAAATGAATTCAGGTACTTAGTGCTGGGATATTTGCCATGCTCAATCTTTAGTAGAATGTATTTAGGGGAGAACAAGTTCGATAGCGTTTCATTCAAAAGTCTGTTACAACCATCGTCCGCAGAAAGCCCGTTTAATTCCAGGAAGAGAAGCTCGAGTGTATCGTGTTTTGGGAATGGAGTGTAGTCAATTTTCGAGTTTTCATGGGAAATAATGTAGAGACGCCGGAGTTGTCTGCAGTTAGTAAGAACCTCATGAACAGTCTGCTCACTGAAGAGTCCAGGGCAAATGATTTTCCCTTCCTTCAGTGAGGGAAACAGGCCCAAATAGGTGGAAATATCCTTTGCGGACGGATGGAGTTCTTGTCCGAAATCCGAGCAATCGCTGGCAATCACCATTACCTTTCGAACATTTAGGCACTTCTCCTGCAGCCGAGGAAGTTTTGAGCTGGTTTGCTTGTCATTGCAGCAGGCCCAAATGATCTCAGCGGACACTTCTAAAGAACTAATGCTTGAACCACACATTTCAATGATTGGGAGGATGCGATCTCTGGCAAGAGACGGAAGCTCCTGGGCGTATTTTGTTTTAATCTCACAACTTCCTGGTTTGCACACACGAATTGAAAGTCTCCGGATTTCTGAGCCGCGTCGCTGAATTAGGTCCGCCACTGCACTTCTCATTGGTGCTTGCCTTCTGCCTCTGTTGGTTGCGATTGTTGAAGATGAAGAGGTATTCGATAGACTGAGGGATATTCTTTCACCGGAAGGGTTTATGTGAAGGTACAGATCGTGCATGTTCAGTGGATGAAGGACACAGTTGTCCTCGACAGACATGAGAGAACAGGCAACGAAGTTCACCATCGCTTCACCGTCTTCAACCCTGTCAGTAGATTGATTACGTAAACGAGGCATATAGCACCTAGCTTCAGCACAAGCACAGGCTCTGCAAAATTGCGGAATGTCTACTGGAGATTTTTTAAGCACACGATATTTAACGGTCCGGGG